TTCATCTAATTCTTCCATCTTTCTTTTGGGGGGTTTTGAGAAGGATAGAATGGGCATGTACCATATTTGCTATCACTGCACTTATCCTCATTTCTGGCAAGGACACACCCAGTTTTCTTTGAAACCATCCCACCTCTCAGATTTCCATCCCGCAGCCAGCAGTGGGCACGTGATCCCAGCCAGCCAATCAGCACGTGCCATCTCTCTGACCACAGTCATTGGTTCAGGTACGGTGTGAGACCCAAGCTGGCCAAGAGACTCGTTTTGGGACTTGAGCTAGGGTGATCAGGAGAGAGCAGCTCCCCCAAAGCTCACCTGGCTCAGAGGGGCCACCTCATGGGGACGGGGCTGCAGAGAGAAGGCAGGAGAGCAGAGTTGAGAGTCCTGGATGGTATGCAAGTCCCTGGACCTAGCTCATTCTTGGGCTCTGCAGTTTATGCATTCACTCAACAAACATCTATTGAGTGCCTGCTGTATGTCAGAAATGAACTGTTTTTACTCACAATACTTCTTACACCAAATGTGGTGGTAGGGGGTCCACACCAAGCAATTTTCTATAGGTCGCAACTGGGTGTCCTACAATTCAATTCATTTCTGACACTCTCTACCCAGAGTTTGCAGCAGACCCCACAGGTTTAAGGTCTCAGTCTCACAAGACTGTCCCCATTTAGATGCCAGTTGCAAGTATCAGGTCCCCAGGTGACCCACAGTTCTGTCTACAGACTACAATGAATACAAAGTCAGGAGGTTCCCACAACCCACCCCCTCCTTTCGGGTTTGATCATTAGAATGACTCACCAAACTCAGGAAAGTGCTTTACTTACTATCACCAGTTTATTACAAAGGATCTAACTCAGGAACAGCCAGATGGAAGAAATGCATGGGGAAGGTCTGGGGAAGGGGCACCGAGGTTCCATGCCCTCCCTGGACATGCCGCCCTCCCAGCACCTCCACGTGCTCACCAACCCGGAAGCTCTCTGGACTTCACTGTTGAGGGTTTTTACGGAGGTTTCATTATGTAGGCATGATTGATTAGATCATTGGCCATTGGTAATTAACTCAGTCTCCATCCCCTCTGGGCTGAAAGGTCCAATCCTCTAATCACAACTTGGTCTTTCTGGCCATCAACCCGCATCCTGAAGCTACCAAGGGGCCCCAGCACCAGTCCTCTCATTAGCATACAAAGACATTCTTATCTCTCCGGAGATTCCGAGGGTTTTAGAAGCTCTGTGCCAGGAACCACTTACAAAGATCAAATGTTTCTTTTTTATTGTATCCGACAGGAACAGCGCTGGTGAAAAATTAAAAATCCCTGCATTTGAGGAGCTGATATTATAGTGAAGGAGACACTTGTTTAAGTGAAACGCATACATTACACAGCATTTTAGATTCTAGGGGTTATGGGGAGAGGGACACAGGGAAAAGGACATTAGAAATGCTGGGGGGGATTGCAGTACTGAGGGAGGGGGGCAACGAGAAGGTGAGATTTGTGCAAAGACCTGAAAAAGGAGGTGAGTGAAGGGAACCATGTCACTATCTAGGATAAGAGAGTTCAAGGCAGAGGGAACAGCCAGTGCAAAGGCCCTGAGGCAGGGGCCTGGTGTGTTCACATATGTGGGAGATCAAGATGTGGCCACCCTGAAATCTATCTCTTTACCTTGGTTGTTTTCTCTAGAGACATTTGACCTCCCCCACTAACTGCCTAAAAAATTTGACATAGTGGCTCCTTCCTGGAACAGATCTATCATGATGGCTGTAAAGACAATGTAAGATAGAGGTTACAATAAAAAACGCACCAACAAGCCCCTCTTATCAAAAGTTCTGTCTCTCTGGCCACATTCTCTGGATGGCCCTGCGAGGAGTTGCCAGACAATCATTTACATTTATAAGGGAAATCTCCATTTGTAAAGGTATCTCCCTCTCAAAGGGGGGGGGGTGGCCTCATTTCTAGAGGCTTATCAATGTGGAAGGTGAGGCCTTAAATCTGCATAATAACCTCACTCTTGTTTACTGTGCTTTAGTGGTAATCTCCTGTAACTGACTCCCCCACCCCCAAAATCCTCCTTTGTCATTGGCTGAACATGGTATTTAAGACGAGAATTTCAGCTATGGTGTTGAGAAACGCAGTGTCCCTGCTTTCTCCCATGTATACATGTTATTAAACTTGGTATTATTTTCTCCTGCTAACCTGTCTTGTTGATTATTTGGCCAGCCATAAGAACCTTAAGGAAAAGGGCAGAGGGAGATTCTCCCTCTTCCCCCGACACATAGCAGCAAGGAGGCCAATGTAACTGGAGCAGAGCAAGTGTGGGGGACAAGTGGGAAGAGTCGAGGGCAGGGAGGTCACAGGTCAGATCATGCAGCGCCTTGTGGGCCTTGGGGAGGACTTGGCCGTTAACTCAGAGTCAGGTGGGAGCCATGGAGGGTTCTGAGCAGAGGAGGTAAAGCGACCTGACTTGGGTATTCACACGCGCCCTCTGGCTGCTGTGGGAAGGACAGACCTTCTCACTAGGATTAGTAGGGGCAACATCATCCTCCCTGCCCCTCCACACAGTGGAACCTTCCGGGGCCAAGGCCGTGGCCATGAGGCCCAGCTAGAGGCAGCTCTAGGCCCAAGCTTCCCTGGCCTGATCCGGGTTCTGCTGCATCATGCATGGCCCTCAACCAACCACTTACTTGGCTGCGATTCAGTCCCCCCTTCTTGGAAACCGCATTCCACTAATGGAAATAAGAGAACAAATGCATTTGGCCATAACCACTTTAATTTTTTTTTCTTGTGAAGAAAAGTGCACGTCTTTCCAAGTGGACATCAAGAACGGCTTGCATAAGGGAACTACATCCGGGATATAAATGACCAGGTCGAGCACTCACTCCGTAGTGTGTTTTGGCATCATAGGGGAGAAGCCAGGTAATGGAATTAGCGCTTCAACACTGAGACCACATTTCACCCCTGACTTGTTTTTTTAAGTGCAGTAGGAGGAGAGTGAGACACAAGAACATGATCCCCAGAGAAGCCAAAAAAAGAAAGAAGGAAAAAAGCAGAACCCCAAACCACCACGGTCTGGCAATTTCCCACCGAATCTGCCATGGAAAGACAAGTTGCTAACAGCACGTGATGAGACGCGATGACGCTCACACAGGACCCAGCCTCAGGCGACCTCTCCAGACCTCAGTCTCCCTGGAGTTGGGAAGTGGCTTTCCCACGGGCTTTGGTTTAATTTTTGTTTGCAAACTCAATGTACCCCCATCCCCCTAGTCATCTTCGAGGACATCGGTTTCAGTTCCCCAGAGACCATCGTGAGTTACACCTCCCCTCAAAACATCGTAAAATAAAAACTTGCATTATTTTTAGAAGAAACAAAAAAAAAATTCTCCCACATTATTCCCAGTCTTGAGAACCCACAAGCAGCTGTCTCTGTTGCTACCTGCAGCTCAACTGTTGAAAAATCGTGTGTAAACAGAAAGCCGAGGCCAGGTCAGGTCCCAGATGCAGCCACAGCTGTTCTGTATCACACAGGTCATGACAAACCGGCTTGTCCCTCAGAACAGCTCTCTGATCCACCATTATTTCAGGCAGCAGCTTAAGGAAAATGGACTGGCCAACAGAATCTTGACAGGTCACGGTGCATCTTAAGAAGCCTTATTTTAGCTGCTTAATTTCACTTTTATGTTAAACTAACTAACATTTTTGACTCCTGCCCCCAAACATTCAGATACTCTCACTTTGTGTGATTCCAAGAACTCGTCTATTTCACTGCGGTCGTCCAATTTGTTGGTGTACAAAGATATCCTCATTTGAAGCTCTAAGGGCAGCCTGTGGTATGGGGTGAATGGGACCCTCTTGAAATAAATTCCGTCTAGAGTTTCTATAAAGAGAAGAAGGACAATAAACTTGAACCAGGCCTTCCCCACTCCCGGAAGGAAGAGGCTGAGATCTTTAAGGCTACAGGAGTCGTTTTGGCAGCAAGGGCTGGGAGACTGGAGTTAGGAACACAAACCATGCACTTAGGTTGTCCTCACAGTGTCTGCGAAGTTATGGGGTGTCAGTTAGGGCTCCAGGGCAGAGAGGGGTGCCACGCCACTGCAGTCTGGACTTTGGGGGGCAGGAAGGGTCCTGAGCTGGTCGGGGAGGGGCTGAAGATATAGATCCTCAACGTGTACATCACCTCCCAGCAGGAGGCCCTGGCAGCTGGGGACCCCAGCCTGATCCCAGCCCATCCCCCCTCAGCCTGTCACCCACAAGCTGTTATCTGTGAAGAGCAAGCCGCAACAGCAGTTACACAAGGTTGCCTTCTCGCCCCTCCGGCCCAACCCCAAAGCATTCCTTAGAATTAGCAGAAAATTCCTCCTCTGTTAGCAGAAAACCTCAGATGGCTGGGCCGCACCGACGACATGGCTCGGGAGAGGGACACTGGGTCCTCAAGCTGGAAGAACCCATGTCTTTACACTGGAAAGTCGCCACCGAGCGCAGGCTACGGGAACATTGCTTCATTTCCTTCTCTAGCAGGATGTAAGATGGGGAAAGACCTTGCTTAAAACATGACCAGCCAAACGCGGCACCGGGGAGGCAGGTCTGGGCAGGAGGGCCCAGGCTCCCGGCTCTGAGGTGAACTGTTGCCAAAAAGCCTTGAGCAGGGAGGCCAGGGGTCGGGCGATTCTCACGCAGCTCATGGTTCCAGAATTCAATTCCGGACTCGGTGGTTAAGCCGAAACAGTGGCAGGGTCGTGGGTGACGGGGAATTCTGGGGAAGCTCAGAAGGCACTTCTGGGGTCCCTGAATCTAGGGGGCTCTGACTACCTAACCCTTTGCAACAGGAAAAGCTACTTTAATACTGCTGTCCCAGGCAGAGGATTTGCAGGCCAGAAGGGAGGGGTCCGCAAGGGCCAAAAGCATCACCTCCCCTTGGAACCCTGAAGTCTGTGAGGTTCCCAGGCAGGCTCTGGGCGCAGCCCGGGGGACCCTGAGAAGGGAGCCGCCTCCCATATCTCCAGGGGTGGACTCTGGGAGCCCACACCGCAGGAGAGAGAAGACGAACCATCTTCGGCCAGCTCGTGAACTCCAGGCAATGCACCCCACACAATGGACGTGGAGAGGGGGTCTAACCCAGAAGGCACTGTGGACGCCCCTCCACCGGGCGGACACGCAGCCCACGCTCCCCCCATTAAAACGCCTGGAAAGCAGCAAGCTCGTGCACGCCAACATCCCCAGACCCTGCCTGCAAGGCAGAGGCCCCAGGGTCCAGAGCCTGCGACAGGGGCTGCCTGGGCGGGCTGGCGGCCACGGCGAGAATGAGCCATGCAGGAGTGGGGGGCAGCTGACAGCTGATGGGAGGGAGCAGGCACCCTGAGCTTGGAAACAGCCCTTGTGGCTCACGCCTCGGTCATAGTCCCTGCTGAGGCAGGAGGGGGTGGGGGGCTGGGGGCCATCTCTAGCAGCTGCAGCCGCTGGGCTGGGGGGGCGGGGTGTCCCCCAAGGCCGGGCCTTTTCCATCGCTGCCTGGGCTGGAGCTGGGTTCCAGGGACTCGTTCATCTTCTCACAAATGATGTCCACCAGGCGCTCGAAGACCTGCTTCACATTGACGTTCTCCTTGGCGCTGGCCTCGAAGAACTCAAAACCTGGATGGACATGAGGTGGGGACACCCGTGAGACCCCCGAGGGGCAGAGCCTGGGCTGTGACATCCCCTAATCCCGGTTCCAAGCCCAGCTCTGTCCTTTATGCAGCTGTGGGATCTTGGCTGAGTGCCTTGGTCTCTCCGAGCCTCGGTTTGCTTGTCTGTAAAGTGGGACGAGTGATGCTGCTGATGCTGATGCAGGATAAAAATCTGTGGCAGCCCTGGTCTGAACCATCCTGAGAATCCCTTGGTCACCAGGCAGTGGCTGCAAGAGTCCAGATAGTGCCACTCTGGTGCCCACGGGTATGGGGGTGCCCCTGGGGAGGTGCGGCTCATCTTCCATCCAATTTCTGCTGCATGGGAAGTCCACAACGCTGGATATTTATGTGGACTTTTTACATGGAGCCAAGTATTTCACCTGTTCTGGAAAATGTGCTCTAGATCAAATAAAGGAGAGGACTGAGGACTGGCTTTGGCCCGGGGGCCACCAGTTTGCAATCTCTGTCAAGCGGATAACGGTGGGTTTCCCCGTGTTCGCTGAGAGCATGCAATGCACACAGTTCCCGGCCTACAGAATGCAGTGAATACGGCAGTGATAATAATAATAGACAGTGCTTACAGCAGCTTACTACGTGGCAGGCACTTTTCTAAGCACTTTATATAAACTCATTTCACGACGCTCTGAGGTGCCTAGGATGAGAGCCCATTTTATAGAGAGGGAAAGTCGCTCACCCAGATTCACATGGGTAACGCGCGGCAGAGCTGGGATTCACACCCAGGCTGCCTGGCTCGAATAACAATAGGTAATAAATAGCAAAGAAATATTTCAGATATAAACAAATATTCCTGTTGTACCACCCTGGGCCTTGGGAGGGAGGGCAGGCTGGCTCCTTCTGGGGACGGGGGGACGTGAAGTGCCTTTAAATATATTCTCAGCATCCTAGTGATCATTGTCAAGTAATGCGGGTCCTCCCAAGGGTGGGAGGTGGTACAAATGCTCTGGGGACTTGCCCAAGGTCCCCTGGCTACAAAAAGTGGCCCATCAACCTGAAAATAAGGGCGTATGTGACAATCCTTCCTGTGCCCCTAAAAGAGTGATTCAGGCTCTACCTGCAGGGAGCTGTCCCTGCATGGTCCTTGATGTGTCCCCACCTGCCACATCTGCCCAGGTGCGTCAGACATTCAGACAGACGCCCCCATATTACACACAGCACAGGGGAAACGGGCCTCTATCTCCGCACCCGTCAGGCTGCACTATAAAAAAATGTAATCGTAATTAAATAGTTATATGTGTAATTATCTGTTTACTGTCTGTCTCTGCTAGTCCATCAGCTCTCAGAGAGCAGGATTTCTGTCTGCCTTGTCCACGACCGCAGCCCCGTGCCTGGCACATGGCAAGCTCTGGGAAACTATTTGCTGAATGAATGAATGGATAGATGCATGAACGACAGAGGCAGGGCACCAACTCAGACCTCCTACTCTGAGCCTGGCGATCATTAGCATCACCTCGCTGTCCTCCTGGGCAAATCTGGCCTCTCCTTATCCATGTGGGGCTCTGCCTCAAGCAATCTGAGTTTTTTTGTTTTTTTGTTTTTTTTTTTTTGCTGAGGAAGATTCGCCTTGAGCTAACATCTGTGCCAATCTTCCTCTACTTTATATGTGGGTCACCACCACAGTATGGCTGATGAGCGGTGCAGGTCTGCACCCAGGATCCGAACCTAAGAACCTGGGCTGCCAAAGTGGAGCATGCCGCTGCCACTACGCTGCCCTGGAGCTGGCCTCACTTTTTTTTTTTTAAACACTTTTTTTCTGATTATATTCACTGGAGAAGTGTGAAATTACTAAAAAATATCAAGACAGATATACAAGTAATTTGTAATCTCATCACCCAGAAACCATTAGTATTGGTAATTTTGATATTTAGCTTTCTACTCTTTTTTTTACTATAAATACACAATTGTTGGGGTTGGGTTTGTAGGGGGTGTGTGTATGTGCATGTGTGTGGCTTTTTTCCTACAAAATTGGGATCAAATTCTATCTCCTGCTTTGTACTCCGATTTTTTTTTTTTTTTGCTGAGGAAGATTTGCCCTGAGCTAACATCTGTGCCCATCTTCCTCTGTTTTGTAAGTGGGACGCTGCCACAGCACGGCTGCAAATGAGTGGTGTAGGTCCTTCCCCAGGAACCAACCTTAACTACTAGGCCACAGGGCCAGCCCCCTGTACTCCGATATTTTAAACTTAATGACGGGGCCGGCCCGGTGGCACAAGCGGTTAAATGCGCACGCTCCACTGCGGTGGCCCGGGCTTCGCAGGTTCGGATCCCGGGCGCACACCGACGCACCACTTGTCAGGCCATATTGTGGCAGCATCCCATATAAAGTGGAGGAAGATGGACACGGATGTTAGCCCAGGGCCAGTCTTCCTCAGCAAAAAGAGGAGGATTGGCAGATGTTAGCTCAGGGCCGATCTTCCTCACACACAAAAAAAACTTAATGACAGAGTGGGAATCCCCCCTCACCGCCAGTTACTAGATGGTCTCTGTAAGAAGGGGTGGGCAACACTCGCAAGTATTCCAGCGCACACCTGGGTCATAGCTGGTTTCACCCTTTCCAGGCAAATTGGGGGTCTAGGGCCTGCCCCAGAGTTGACTCCCCAGCACACCTGGAAATGAGACCCAGGCTGGAGTTCCCAGAAAACCCAGGGACGGAGGAGCAGATTAAATGACACCACGAGGGAGCAAGGAGCCAAACCTCAAACAGGAGACATTCCATAGAATAAGGACCCAGTTTCTCCAACAAATGGATGGCAAGGAAAAAAAAGAGGAAGGGGGCCATTACAGCCCAGAGGCCAGCGAACTGTCTCTGTAAAGGGCCAGATAGTAAATATTTTAGGCTTTGCAGGCCATATGGCGCTTAGAGTTTTATTTGCAAGCATAAAAAATAGTTTACAAGGGGGCTGGCCTGGTGGTGTAGTGGTTAAGGTCACGTGCTCCACTTCACTGGCCTGAGGTGCGCGGGTTCAGATCCCGGGCACGAACCTATGCACCGCTTGTCAAGCCACGCTGTGGCGGCGTCCCATATAAAGTAGAGGAGGATGGGCACGGATAATTAGCTCAGGGACAATCTTCCTCACCAAAAAAAAAAAAAGAAAAAAAAGTAGTTCACAAATGTGCTAACACTTAGATGCAACTACACGTGGGCCAGACTCTGTCATACCCACTTCGTACGGTGTAACTCATTTAACCCTCGAGACAACTCGAGGAGGCGGGCTGTTATTCTCTTCATTTCCCAGGAGGAAGTGCGGGCCTGGAGAGCTGAAGTCACCGGTACAAGATGACAGAGCGATTGAGAAATCATGTGAGCTCATGTTCAATTGGGGCCAGCATTAGTGTATTTAATCTTTCTAAATGCCCGATGAAGTAGACATGGTTGGTTTTCACCTCTGTGTCCTAGATGGCGAAATGGCAGCACAGAGAGGGGAGGCGATGTGTCCAAGGTCACACAGCTAGTGGGCGGCAGACTGGGATTCTAGCTCCAGAGTCTGGGTCCCTAACACGCCCTCCCCTGCCGTGGCTACACCACCTCCCACAAGGGGTGTCCCGGGAGAGCCTAGAACACCAGAATACTCCAGAACAAGATTTTTGTTTAGCTTAAATTTTGAATAGATAATCCATTCACCTGCTCTGAAAATGGGGACTGAGAAGTCCCCCTCCCACCCTGGTGCCCCAGCCTCCCAGTTCTCAGACACGCAGCCCACTGCTGTTACTAGATCCTTCTGTATCCTTCCAGAGTTTCTTTAGGCAAATATAAGCATACATTCTCATTCCCTTTTTATACACTAATGCAGGGGTTGGCAAACTTGGAGCCGCAGGGTATACCTGGCCCACTGCCCGCTTCGTAAATAAAGTCTTACTGGCAGACAGTCACGCTCATTCATCGATGTATTATCTATGGCTGCTTTCAGGCACAGCTGAGTGGTTGCGACAGAGACCTTATGACCGAAAATATTTCCTATCTGGCCCTTTTTTGTGTGTGTGTGTGAGGAAGATCAGCCCTGAGCTAACATCCGATGCCAATCCTCCTCTTTTTTGCTGAGGAAGACTGTCCCTGGGCTAACATCCGTGCCCATCTTCCTCAACTTTATACAGGATGCCGTCACAGCATGGCTTGACAAACAGTGCGTCTGCACACACCCGGGATCCAAACCTACAAAACCCCGGGCTGCCGAAGTGGAGCGCGTACACTTAACTGCTGCGCCACCGGGCCGGCCCCCTATCTGGCCTTTTAAGGAAAGGTTCGCTGACCCCTTGGATTATTTATTTATTTATTTATTTGTGAGGAGATCAGCCCTGAGCTAACATCCGTGCTAATGCTCCTCTTTTTGCTGAGGAAGACCGGCTCTGAGCTAACATCTATTGCCAATCCTCCTCCTTTTTCTCCCCCAAGCCCCAGTAGATAGTTGTATGTCATAGTTGCACATCCTTCTAGTTGCTGTATGTGGGACGCCACCTCAGCATGGCCAGACAAGTGGTGCATCGGTGCACGCCCGGGATCTGAACCCGGGCCGCCAGCAGTGGAGCGCGCGCACTTAACTGCTAAGCCACGGGGCCAGCCCCCTCTTGGATTAAAGGAAGCAGCCATACGCACTATTCTGCTTTTTCCGCTTAACCATATATGCCAGGGATTTTGCCATAGCAGAACATAGAGAACACCCTCATCCCTTTTCACAGCTGCATAATATTCCATTGTGCAAATATACTTTAGGCTTAGCTGCCTCCCCCACAGTGAGACATCTGGGGGGTTGCCAAGGTTCCCTCCTACTAACAGTCCGCAATTTGATACATTTGCCACTTCCCACATGGGTGCAGATGTTCATAGGATAAATTTCCAGAAATGGCTTTGCTGAGTCTGGGTTCCCAGGGCAGTGTGTGGGGGCGCTATCTGTGGGTGAATCCTCTGAAATTAAATGGGGAAGGCGGCATGTGGGTATTTACCTGGGCAGATCCTCAAAGGGCAAAGGGTTGGTGACTGTGGTTGGACCTAGGACCTGAGGGTGGGGATGGGGATTTGGTTCTGGGAGGTCCAGGGCCTGTGGCACAGGCTGGGCACTAACCAAGGTCATCGGCGAGCCTCCGGCCATCCTCGGTGGGCACAACACGCTCGTCTTCCAGGTCACACTTGTTCCCCACGAGGATGACCTGGGCATTGTCCCAGGAGTAGGTCTTGATCTGTGTGGCCCTGTGGGGTTGGAGGAGCGTTAGGCCAGGGATTAGGGGTCGGGGGAGAGGACAAAGGTCAAGGGGTCAGTGGTCAGCCAGCACTCACCAGTCCTGCACAGCAGTGAAGGACTCCTGGTTGGCGACGTCATACATGAGCAGGAAGCCCATGGCTCCTCGGTAGTAGGCTGTGGTGATGGTCCGGTAGCGTTCCTGGCCCGCCGTGTCCTGGGCAAACAGTGGGGTCAGGTGGCTGGAAGCCACCCTCTTCCCCACCCCACCCCTGCAGGGCCCTGTCAGTGGGGGGCAGCACCCTGTCCTCACAGCCCCAGTCTGATGGGGGAGACGTGGCCTTACCCTTGAGGGGTTCCCAGTCTGTGGGGTCAGTGGCCTCTCAGAGACTTATAAGCCCCTTCAACAACATCTCCAAGAACAACTCAATGACCACAAACAAGAGCCACCTGGGCCAGAGGTGCCTTGATGCAGACACCATGATGCTCGTCACCATGACAACGGTTAGCAGCTGGGTTGGGAGGGGGGCGTGGCTCTGAAGACCAGGTAGGCTCAATGGGCCCCTGAGATGGTACCCAAATGTCTTCCCCAACAGTCACCAGGACATCTAACCCATCTCAGGCTAGTACTGTCCCCCTCAAACCCCACGGGGCAGAGCATACCCCCTCCTCCTGATGCACTCCCCTCATAGATAATACCCTGCTACTCTCCGCGCTCCCCAGTTCTGGGCCACTCAGCCAGGTCCCCTCCGCACAGCCCTACATCCTCACACGGACATCCCCCAAGGAACCCCAGGCCCCCCCCCCCCCCGCCGCAGACCCACCCAGATCTGCAGTTTGATCCTCTTGTCGTGGCGGTAGACGGTCTTGACCTTGAAGTCGATGCCCACGGTGCTGACGAAGGCAGGCGTGAAGGAGTCGTCGGCGTAGCGGAACAGGAAGGACGTTTTGCCCACGCTGCTGTTGCCTATGAGGAGCAGCTTGAACATGTAGTCGAAGTTCTGGTCGGCTGCATCCCGAGGGCCCGTGGGGGGGTCTCCTGCTGACGCCATCTCGGCAGGGAGCCTGCTGGCGGGGAGGCCAGAAATGCTCAGAGGGGGCGGGGAGGCATAGAACACCACTAACGGCTCTAGTGTGTATGCCAGACCTCGGTTCAAATCCCGGCTCTGCCATGTGGAGGCCAAATAACCCTGCATGCATCCCTTGCTCTCTCTGGGCCTCAGTGGCCTCCTCTGGAAAATGGGGGTGTCTGCCAAATGCACCAGGTTGGGGGGGGCATGAGGCGCCTCCTCTGGCCGCTGAGGAAGCAGACCCTGTGGAAGGCGCAGGTGTGGACTTTGCCCAGGGTGAGCAGCTGGTGTGGCCCAGGTGTGCGCTGGCAGAGGGGGGCTGCCAGCTGGATAGAGCCCCCCCTCGGGGCCTGCCTGTTGACTTTGGCAGGTGTGGGCCACCAGGGTGCTTGCCTTGCTCCCCCCCAGGCAAGTTTAACCCCTTCCCTGACCCCCACGGGGAGAGGGGTGTTTCAGTGGATACAGCCCAAGGATAAGGCCGAGCTCTACCCCCACTGGGTACTGCCACCTTCTGTTTGTCAAAGGGGCCGGGCCGCCTCCCTCCGGACAGCGCTGACTCACGCAGCCCCAGCCCCAGCCCCAGCCCCAGCCCCCGGACCTCAAATGGAACGAAACCACCCCAGCCACCTAGTAATCACCAACCCCACTGCCACCCTGGTCCTTCCTTTCCTGGCAATCTGTCCCCACAGCCAGGCTGCTTCATCTGGGTCCAGGACCCCTCCTCAGCGCTCACTGCCTCCGGAGGCCTCAGTTTCCCCAGCCGTCTATGGCTGCGCCCTGAGCCACACAGGAAAGCTCCAGAAGGCCGGGGCGAGTGGAGGGCGCCCCAGCCGAGGAAGCTCTGGCCGAGCTATTTCTCAACTGCCCGTGGGGCCTTTTTCCATTTGAAAGGAGGGCCCAACCGGCCCCCCTTTCCCGCCCAGCCCTCGCCCCACCCCCGGTTCCGGGAGAACGAGTTTGAGGGGGGAAGAGAAAAGGCAGGAAGCCTTTCCCCACGCCGGGCAGGGCGGCCAGGCTGGGGCCCCGCCCCGCCCCACCTGTCAGCCGGTCCCACCTCTTTCTGACCATCTGCCGACCCTCCCTCGCGCCTGGCACTAGCGAAGGGTCCCCGAGGGCTGGGCCCTGTCCCCCTCCGCGGGACGCGGGGCGCCCCAGCCGGCGCGGGGAGCGCAGGGCCCCCTCCCATCACCATATGGTCCGATCTCCAGTCCCCAGCTGGGCTCCCCGCGCCGCCCGCGCCCCATTAGCGCTCCCCGCCGCGCCCAGCTGGCGGGGGGCGAGGGAAGAGGCGTCCCCCGCCGCCCCCCTTTGTTCCCAGGCCCTGCTCCGAAGCCCCTGCTCCCCCAGACCTGCTGGGACGCGGAGGTGCGCGCGGGCTGCGCTCGCTCCCAGGGGGTCACCTCGCGTGGGGGGCGCTGCCCGCGGGCGCTCCGCCTCCGACCTCGCTGCGGCCTGGCCTCGGCCGCGACCCC